TCTTCTTCTTCTTAAATCACTTTAGCTTTAATACCTGATTTTACAGTGTTGCTATTATCCAATCCTATCCCTCCTATCACTCGTATCACTAACCCTATCTTACCAGTTCACAATGTCTCCACTGCAGGACACCGATCACTGCACTGAGCAGCTCCTTCCAGTGACAGACTCCTTCATCCCAAATGTGTGGAAGGAGGATATCGACTAGGTCCTTCCTCCTGCTGCTGTCAGACTGTTTAACAAACAATTGTGACACACACACACACACAGGAACAAATGAACTCATTTTAATAGTTCCGGGCGCACCTGAAAGTGATTGATGGCCGTTACCTGCCCGTTGGAAACAGAACCAACGGTCACTTTCTAACCGTTTAAAACCCCGTTATTTGACTCGACTTTAAACCCGAGTTACAAACACATTTATATAGTTAAAGATGTTATTGAGTGGCAAAGTTCATCGGACACATCTGCTATAAGTTATTTTTGCTTGATATACGAGAAAGTGCCAACTGCTGAAACTGCCAGCCCCCTTAAAAATATGTAAGTAACGTCTGAATTTAGGCAACCGTTTGTATCGCTGTTGGTCGTTTTGTAACAGCGCGGTCTGTTAATTTATTTATTTATTTCGCGGTTTTTTGGGGGGGCTAAAACTCCGACCGAAACCGCAGACACCACATTTTATTTATTTTTATTTATTTTTTGTTTAAAGTGTGGGTGGCAGGAGCGTGAGCAGGTGGACGCCGCTCCGTGTCGCTGCTGCTGCCCTTCAATGAAACACAATCCCGCTGGGGAGGAAGAAACTCTGCGCATCGAGCAAAGCAAAGCAAAGCAAAGCAAAAAGGGGGGCAAACGCAAACATTAACTTAAAAATCCACCAGGAAGAAGCCTCTCTGAAGTCGGATTTAACATGCGGCGTGTCTGAAGAGGGAAAAACAAACAAAAACTTCCTGAAATGACCGAGGGTTTTTTCTGTGAGACTGCGCTTGACAACCCGGTGAAGCGAGTTTACTAAGAAGTGCTCTCACATTTCAATTTGTCTCTCAGCAGCGAGAGGACTTGTTCGAGGCTGGCGCACGGGAAATTAACTCTTTGGACCGCTAATCATCCCTGGACTTTGACCACGCTTTAAAACATAATTTTTCCTCTAAACCCACAACCAATAGAGCTTTAATATATATATATATATATTAAAGGAGTTGTTCCTCAAGTCCGCTGCAATGGGGTGAGTAATCCAGAAAGCGCTGCCCTCTAATGACACCTGCACTGACTGAAATGTTATTTTATGTGTGTGTGTGCGGGGGAAATACGGCACAATACCTCCACAACTGTCCACTTTACTGTCAACCCTGTGAATAAATCACATTATTACACTGTCTGTTCCCCCAGCGCTCGCCTGTGCGTGTTTTTGGCAGCTAAAGAAAGACAATTTACTATTATTTTCGTGGCCGGATTATGATCTGCTGTGAGATATTCACGATTTCAGGTGTGAGAATGATTGAGTTCATATATTTGTTTGAATTAATTGCGAATGTATTTATAATCTGTGAGCAGACATGCAGGTGAATTGAGTATCTGTCTGGTTGTGAAGGGGTTGTCTGTAGGAATATGGTATTTTATTATGATATGGAGGTGGCAGAGTCAACACTGCCCACAAATAAGGAGAGCTGGTACTTCTGGGAGTGTGTGTGTGTCTGTGTGTGTGTGTGTTTGTTGTTTACAAGGTACAGTACATTATTTTGCCTCCATAGTCTGCTGTGGTGTGAATGTGGACTCTGTGGCTTAATGCCATAGTTATGCAACCAGTAGCTGTCTTCACATCTACATAAGTGACTGAGTTTTCTTTCTGGAGGACCCACTCCCCGTTCATGTGGTGTTTATTTGACGTAGAAGTGGCAATAACGACAGCTCAGTGTGTTTTGTTTCAGAAATCAAACCCGTCCCTGTTTTAATTCACGTCAACTTCACGGATGCTGCCATCTACGACACACACAGACCTTCATTCATGTAAAAATAAGAGCCAAGGTGTGAATATAAGCAGAATTATTGTTCAGTAACAGTAATCGACGTGTTTTTTTTATTTATTTAATGTCTTAAGAAACCAGTTGGACCGTCCTGACTGCTTCTCCAGAGTTTGGATTACTCATCGAGCAGGTTTGAAACTCGAGGGAGTTGTTGTTGTCATGAAAGTGTCCCAGTGGACGAGCAGCCACAAGGCAGAGGTCACACCTACTGACGGAAACAAGGCAACAAGTTTCCTTTTCCCAGGTCCCCCGGTTTCATTCGGTGCCAACCAGCAGTGAAACTCGACTGAGCAGCTTTTAAAAGGCAGAAACAAACGTCTCCCAGGACATTTCATCTGTCCGGTTCACCATTTGTTTAGGTTTTCATTCATCTTCTAATTACTTTAACAACGAAACAACTCATTCTTTAGTTTGTAGTGTCAGAAAATAGTGAAAAATCAAACGTTTTCAGAGCTCATTCTTAGAGACGTGTTTAATTCAATCACTGAGTCTATAAAATAATCAGTCAGAAAGTTATCCGAGCCTCCGGCGGCGTCTTTAAAATGCTATTTATTTAGTGAACATCAAGAAAACCAGCAAATATTCACATTTGGAGGAAAAAATCTTAAGCGATTAGTAAATTGTTGCAGTTAATTTTCTGTCAATAACTACTTGTGTTCGTGTCGTAAAGCCCAGTGTGTCATTGAACTGCTCGTTCTCACCAACCAGCACTTCAGATTAACATAAATACACCAATTTATTGTTTAATAAGACAAAAGAGAAAATCTT